GGCCCTGTGTGTATATATACATCTGTTACATTTATAATTACTATCCCCCGCCTCCAGTTCACTCACGCTTTTGAAGATGAAACGTCACATGGAGCGCGTTGCATTGTGGGAAATAGTATCCCATGCAGTGTATTCAGATGCATACATCAGATTTCAGCAAATGTAGCAGGTCCGGGAATTCCATGCATACAGAAAATTCACATTCACAGCTTACACATACTGCAATATAGTAGGGGTTGTAGGGTATTATGCCATTCCAAACACAGCTTCTGTACTGATTTCAGTGTACTTGAGTTATATTGAGCAGATTCTGGCAAATAAAGTAGGTCATCCGGGTATTACATGCATACAGAAAATTCACATTCACAGCTTACACATACTGCAATATAGTAGGGGTTGTAGGGTATTATGCCATTCCAAACACAGCTTCTGTACTGATTTCAGTGTACTTGAGTTATATTGAGCAGATTCTGGCAAATAAAGTAGGTCATCCGGGTATTACATGCATACAGAAAATGTGGATATTATGCACAGTATACATACTGGATACTGCAGAAATAGTAAGAGTAGTCTGATAGTATGGCATTTCGAACACAGCATGAGAGTGCAAGTCTGAGAGTGCAAGTGCAAGACTGTATTCTCCTAGCGAGGAGGGTCTGTCTGCGGACTGCAAGAGAGGGGCGTAACTGGAAGATGTCCAAATCACACAGAACCACGCGAGATGTCAAAACGAGATGTTGTCGGGCTGCTTTCGAAAGCGCACACTCTCTAAGTAAGCAGGCACTGAATTTCATTAAGTAGTACTTTTACTTACCGAGCGCTAAAAGTACAAACTCTACAGCCTGCATGCGTTAAGTATGAATGCGATTCGGGTATCATCCGCTATCTTGACGTTATCACGTAACCTACGACGTTATAACAAGCTCAACAACTTAAAAGATATGAGTGACAGGTTTCTTCATCTATCTGTAGTATCTTGATACTGATGAAACTTGCCCATTTTGTGCTCTTGTTGAAGAAACAGCTGCCCTTTTGTGTGATTGTAGTATAGCAATACATTTTGGGTTGATTCAAGTTCTTATATGTTTAACTCCACTAATGTGATCCAGTTTTATCCTTAAAGCATTTTTAATTTTTTTATTACGAAAACCCCAAATCGTCATCTCTTGAATATCTTGTTAATTATTTTGTGTAAAATGTTTCATCCACAAGCAAAAGTGGCTTAAATCTCCTTTGTTTTCTTCTTTTTCTTGTTTAATTTAATGATGAAATATTCAAAGATATTTAACCTGGTCACTGTGCTTTTTTTCTGTGTATATTTTCTCATACTATGATGAACACATGAATTTTTGTTTACTGTTTTATGCCATTATGATTGTTCATGGTTAGATACAACCATCTTTCCCTGATCTTTTATGTGATTATAAGTTCGGTAATAATAATAATAAAAAAGAGGGACAGGTGCACTAACAGCTCATAGCATCACTAACTCAACAATCTAGTATGGTTTTCCTCAGCGTTTGCAATATCTGTCTCGCCTTTGGACAAGACTGTTGACTTTATTACTACTTAAACATTAAGATTACCCCAGAATTAATTGCATCGTTTGCCCACCCCAACACTTACATGCAATAATAATGATGCTAACCAATAATTATATATATATTTTAAATGACATTTTAGTAAAAAATGCCAAATGTAATTTTTGTCGTGACATAGCTATACATAAATATACACTAGTTGAACAAATGCAGTCGATGTGAATACATACATTTTCAGTCAAGCAATTAATACATTAATTAAATATTTATATTTTATTTACTGACAACAATAAACATGAATAAATGAGTAAAAGAACGAATAAAAGTAAGCATCACAATAAATACATATACAAGTCAACAACAGATGAAACAAAGCTTCATTCAAACGTATTGTTCTAACAAGCATGTATTTACAGATGGTGAACCCCGATCCTACTGCATCTCAACACAGCGGAGACCGTTCTGCTTCACAATCTCGCTCTTCTCAGTGGAGACATGGTTGAGCAAGAGGATGAGGAAGACCATGATGACGGCTCTCTGAACCACACAAGCTAGAAGCAAGAGCAGGGAACACATTTGTGTGCTGCTCTCCATGAGCACCACTACCTGTAACACATTTAAACAGAGTTAAACATTTTACAGTTCATGCTGTCAGCTTTACATTTCTTGCCAAATTTCATGTTTACAATTACATGCATTTTTTGTTGTAGCTTTATTACTTTTGTAGTGGGCTAAACCACTGAACTGGTGAGCAGAAAGTTGCTGGTTCAAAACCAGCAGTATGTCCTTGACCAATCCAGGTTGTTCCAGAGGATTGTAGGTCCCTGTAATAAGAGCGCTGTAAATCACTTTGGATAAAAGCTTCATGACATTTTTTATGATGCTTTTGAAGCTTCTGAATGTCAGCCTTCATTGTATGAACAGAAACCAGCCGAACAAACTTGACCAAACTCACATCCTCAGTGTCTTTTGGTGTTTCTCTAGATGCTCCAGCTGGCTCTGGGGTCACTGAGGATGAAGAGACCACAGCAGCATCTGGTCCTGATGAGACAGTAAGAGGTGGAGTGATGGAGCAACTCATCCACGGCACGGGACCATTTCAAGTAACTGTGAAACGTTATATAAGATGGCTAACTTAATTAAATAGTTATTACTAGGCGAAGCGAAATTAGCTGAAATATCCACGAGCTAGGCTACAGTAAGAGTGCATGGTTTATCTGTCCATCAGATTGAGTTCGTTACTATAACAACAGTCGATCAAACAATCATTCTAAAAAAATATATATATACAAAACTTTAAGTCGTTATAACGAGAAAACGAGAAGGAAAAAAATAATATTGCAGCATGGCCGCTTAGAACTTCCGCAGATTTCTGAATGAAACTGAATGTTATTTCTAGAGATATCTGAGTGCGAGCTGAGGCTCAGAGGCTGCTGTGTCGCTCCTGTCATATAAAGCTGTTGTGCTCGTGGAGACCTAATAAAGCAGAAAAGACCATCATTTCAGAAGAAGAGATGCTGATGAAGATTTTCTAGATCAAGCAGCAGATTGAAGCTCTGAAGCTCCTGAAAGACTGGAATCACAGCCAGATCAACTGTGTTCAGCAGCGATACTGTGAGTGTTTGTACAGAATTCATTTAGTGAATCGAGTGTTAAATCAGCGCAGACAGAACAATAAAGCATTCTGAGTCCATTCAGCCTCTGTTTCATTCTGCTGATCTCAGTCACATTCATGATTATTCATACTGTCATCAGTTCACATCAGAGATTCAGACACCACTTCATCATTCAATGAGTCACTAATGAACTTATTACATTTGATGATCAGTTTACAATATAGATATTAAAGCAATCATATTACAGTGTTTATTAAAGATTCAGAAGTGTGTGTCTGATCTAGATTTATAACTTCTGGAGGACAATGAAAAACTGATTAAAAATGAATGAATACAAATGTAACTATGTGAGATTTGATGAGTTTGTGTTCATGTGAACATCAGAAAGAGGATTTACAGAGAGTCTCTCTATCGTTTAATATCACACAGAGACACTGAGGAATTATTATAAACCTTAAACCCAGCACAGAGAGGTTCAGTGAATGTGGTGTTGAATGTGTGTAAGTGTGTGAGTGTGTGTAAGTGTGTGAGTGTGTGTGTGTCAGAGACGCTGTAGAAGGACAGAGAGCCGGCCGACACGTCCAGATACACTCCTGCTCTATTAGAGGATGAACGGACAGCAGGTATATCAGTGTAGTTATTATTGTGACGGACAGTGAATCTGTTATCAGAGCACCACAGACTCCAGGATTTGTCATTGAATCCAAACTCACAGTCTCTCCATCCTCCTTTCCTGTTGATTCCTTTATATGACACTGATATAGCAGCCTTATCTCCGCTCCATTCAGCCTCCCAGTAACAGCGTCCAGTCAGCCTCTCTACACACAGAACCTGAGGAGCATCATCAAATCTCTCCGGATGATCAGGATACGGCTGAAGATCTTTCACACGTGTGATCTTCCTGTTCTCATCAGACAGCATGAGTCGAGTGTTTGCTGTGTTTGGATCCAGTGTGAGATCACAGGCCCCTGAACACAAGAAGAGAGAAACATCAAGAACAACACAACAGTGAAGATGTCTGTGTGTGTTTACAGCTTTGACTGTATTTGCAAAGTCCAGAATATCCTCTCTATTCACAAATGTTAGGAGCGATAAACGCGTGCTTCTGACGCAGCTGAAATCAACCGCACACTCACACAGCTAATGAAAACATCAACCTTAGAAATAAACAACCGTAACATTGAGATTATGCCGCTGAATACAGCGAACCCCAGTTGAAACGCATAC